CTCTTCAATGATTATTTTCTCCAAGTTCATTTCTTTTGCTTTTTATACCCCAAAGAAAATAGCCATTAGTCACCCCAACCAGAGAAGCTGAGAATGCTAAGATATGACCTTCCTTATCCTTAAAAACTCCTCTAACCCCCAAAGGGCCTGGATTTCCAAAGCCACTTCCATCAAAAATTTAATTTTATGAAACTATTTTTTGGTGGCTCCAAATCTTTATGCAATTTACTCTTCCTTGTCGATGATGCAGCCACTTCTAAAGATCACCATATGAGCAATGCAAGAAGATACCCAATGATTTTGCCCGATCGATTGCCCTTTCCATGATATTACTCATATATGATTTGCATGCTTCTTTCTTTTTCATCAAGTATTCTTGCATTCCTTTCTTCCCAAATTATCCATAGCAATCTAAACATCTGGAACCCGCCACCATTCTAGGCTAATGATGAAACTGGTTACCACCTACCAATCTCTTGTCTTTTTGTTTGAGGCTGGTATATTTAGATTGCTAAGGAAAAGAGGAAGAATTGCGTGCCTTGGACAGGGTTCCACCACCATAAACATATGGAACCTGCCAAGTAATGCACAAAGGTACCCACAACGAAGTGAACTACAGACTCCAATACGCTTGAACCCTGCCAATGGAAAACACGAAATCCCAGCAAATGCATAGTCATTGTGTCGTTGCCAAAATACATCTTCACTCCCATGTAGAAGGAACTACGAGCCCGGGCTGTCATATCCAAATTGGGGTAAAAGGCAACCCGGGCTGTCCATTTTCAACTTACAGTGGTCTATCTCGACAACCAACTCTTTGTACATTGGAATCAACTCCCCAAGAATGATTTCCGAGTGTTGGAGATGACGCGCTAATACAATACCAACCAGAGGGACCGCCAATAAAGCCACAACATCTTCTATTGTAATGCTGAACTCTCCATACGCACCAACGAAAGTGTGGGTACAGCAACACCAATGCACCACCAATGGCTCCATGAAATCAACATTGTCACCCCCTCAAAGACCCATGAAGCAATTGACAAACCTCAGCAAGCCTGCAACACGCAGTAGTCTGCAATACACGGGGTTCTCCAAGATGAATGACGCCCATGAAGTATAACTGGTGGAGCCATCGGAACACACAGTTCTAGGCTATATGCAGCAGTAGATGACTTTGCATGTCTGCCACCCATATAAACAGATGAGTTCCTTACCTTCAACGACATCAAAAGTATCATCCTTACCCATAGTCACAAGCATGGGAGGCCAGAACCCCCTACCCAAATCAACCTCCCCTGCAGACTCATATCCAGTAAGTAGCTCAGTCGTATCTACTTCCCGAACAAACTCCACAAACGGACACTTTCTGCACTACCTCTTCTCATTTATGGGACTTCTTCTTGAACCCTTAGACTGCTTCGAGGCACCATTAAAAACAAGAGTCACCAAGAACCTAAAACAGAATGCACAGAAGACAGAGGAAAAACAAGAACGACAACACAACTACGATGAAGGACACACAACAACTTAACCGAAAATGAATGGGAATAGACCACCTCTCCCATTCCCTTTTAAAAGAAGTTCGGGGGCTCTCTAGCAATCAAAACGGCGCTGCAGGGAAATGATGACCACCTGGACTACCTGTCACATTTCCATTTGGAAACGTACCGTCACGTCAGCACCCAAACAGAAAGGAAACAGGTTACCGTTGCTATGATTCAAATGTAACCGCCAATGTACGTACCCGCTAGCCAATTAGCACCCGATTATCAATACTCAAACTGACAGCAAGATTCACCGCTACATGCAACAAACAAGGTTGCATGTACACACAATATCAACAAAACACGAGAAATAGCCCACACCACCAGTATTGAATTACAAACAACCTAAACACAAACATTCCATTGCCAAAACATTGGAGGGCTATCGCACCACAATACACCAACACAACTCACCCATTTCAAAATAAAATAACTCAAGCCCTTCCACAGCCTACCTAAATAGATATATATTTCTCGCCAGGTAGCCTTCTGTTAAAAGTGTGGTGGTGAGGCTAGGTAGGGTAGTCTCCTTGAAGGACGAAGAAGGGCCAAGTTAGTAAAGACTATATGATCAGTCAAGCGGAGCTGGGTAATGATAGTGTCGTCCTCATCATGTCCAGTCCTCCTTATATAGGGAAGATCCTGAGGCTTTTTAGAGAAACATCCAAAAGGATCGATTCTTATTAGGGAAGGGGATCTTTGATTTAGTATCAGCTGCCAGAAGGACACTGCTTAGGGTTTGCCACATGTCAAACGAGATTTTCCTAGGATGAAGTTTCCTTTCATCCGAGGATTCTTTGCAGTATACATGTGCTACTCCCTTTCGTGGGTCTCCTGTGTTGTTGTATCATCAGAACTAGTACGGCGTGTCTCATCCGATGGCTTCATCATCTTCTTGGTATTTCGGTACCCACGATTTTCAATTCGTCATAATTACACAATAGTTTCTTGAGTTTGTTATGTATTCTGCAATGGCTCGTGAACCCGTTGCGCTGTGGCCCATTACGGGTCTGCGTAATTTTATTTTAGAATGAGTGTTTGTGATTAGAGTTATGGTGGATTACATGTACTTACAGTGGCAGTTATCAGTTTTGCTTGCTTGTATGAGTTTCAATGGAAGGGGATGTTATGTTTTTTCGGGTTTTCAGCTTTGGTTGGGGTGGGTATCTCAAAATGTAATTGATTTTCAGGGCTGTTTTTTTAGGTATAAGGGGTTAGGCTGATGTTTTTCCTGGGTTGGGTGATGTCTTATCACCCATTTGAACATTGTTTCTAACATTAATAACCCCCCCCAAAGGACAACTAGATTCAGTATGTCTAAAACCAGTATTATTTTTTTATTTTTTTATCAGTCTTAAACTAGTAATTTTTTATCTATAATTCTATATATATAGTTATATACAAAGCCCTCAAATTCACTTCAGAGCAGGGAGAGGGAGGGGATTTATTTCCCTTTATTACATGTTAGAACAGAACTTAGCTTGCAATTGTTCATAAATCTCCATGTGACAGTGCTAGACCAGACCAAAAGGATCCAAAAACTTAACACTTACGTTGATGATAACAGTAAAACAATATATAAATTTAGAGAACAAAATCGTGAAAACAAGTTCCAGGTATTGACTATCAAATGGAAATCCTGTTCGTCTTAATTCCAGCATGGAGGAAGGTCGAAGAGTATCAAAACTAGGATATGGGGTATAGTAATCTGAGTACATCGAGCTCTGATAATACCTAAAGGAACATTATCATGATAATTCTGATTTCCAAGTTATAGCGTTCAGGTCTACGAAGAACTCAAGACCAATTACAAACCAATTATGAACACACAATGATACACTCCAGAATATTCAGACCTAACGGTCAATACAAAACTCGCAGATCTTTCTTTGGAAAAGAATACCCTAAATGAGAAACGGTAACCCTAAAAAGATTCAGTATCAAGGTCACCAGATCAAAGGACCTAAGCACACTAACCGCTTGGAAAGGGGAAAAAATCAAGAAGGAAAAAAAAAAAAAAAAAGAAAAGAAAAGTTGCAATATCCTAACAAACCCCACAAATCCAATCAAACAAATTTTCAAATAACTGAACAACAATCATACATAGAGAATAATCGAATCAAACCCATCTCGCATAAATCAAAATACATCAATAAAACCTAAAAAGAAACAAAAATAGGGCAACAAACCCTACAAAGAGTAGAAAAAAAAAGGCAAAGTTCAACACAAGCAAGCATGGATTTAAAAACAAAGCAAAAGTGAACGAGAGGAAGCTAACCGGTGAAGCGATGGCGAGGATTCTCAAGGGCCTCCTTTAAAAAGGAATCCACCATAGAAATCACTGCATCGTTGTCTTTCTGTGAGGATGAGCCATCGTGCGCCAAGAGAAGACAATCCATATCTTATGGGAGAAAGAGAAGAAGTGCTCCTGTGTCCTAAAGATTTCCACTCGTTTACCTCTATAATTGCCTCTTCTTCTCCTCTCTCTCCTCCCTTGTCAAAGAAGGGCTAGGAAGAACACCTTCCTCCTCAGCATCGGAAAACTCTATGCCACAAAAGAGAAAAAATAAACAATGGATTGCGATTTTATATTTATAATAATTAAAAATTCCGACAATAAGGTCAAAATCCACAATATCAGTAACCCCCAGCGTGTCCTTCCTGATAAAAAATAAGAATCCCAAAAAAGTCGCCATTATTCTCTCATCTCATCCATCAACGTGGTTTTCGCAGTGATAATCCCACAGGATCTGATCAGCCAATCCTATGGCACCACTCAAATAAAATCTGTTAGATATCTAACAGCCTCCTGATCCGCTCTTTTTTTGGGTAAATGAGAAAGACCCCCTGGTCTGGTATTCGTGGGTCAACGACAAAAACCCTCTGATTTAGCCGTGAGAGAGGGTTAAGACCTGGTACTCGTGGGTCAATTTACCCTTTTTAAATCTCAAAATTATGTTTTTATTAGCGGTCCGTTTTGTTGCTGAGAAAGGATGGGATGAGAAGGGAAAATTGTTTTTCTCAATCCTGTTACCTGTTTGGTTGCTGAGACCATATATCCTGCTAAATCTGCTTTTCAATGTTTGATTGCTGAGAAAATTTTATAAGATTGTTGGATCTATTCGAATTTGACAAATTCATACATTCTTCAATTTCACATCACAAGATTTGTTTTGGGGAGGCGTGATGACATGGCACAATTAAAAATTCCTACATAATAAATATTCTATACCCAACTTATTTGTGTGTTTGTTATAAATATTCTATACCCAGCTTTAGGATCTGTATTGTGTTTGGGGTAATTCTTATTCTGATTTCACTTCTCTTTCTAACTAAAGAAATGCACTATAGATTAGGAACTCAACAAATCATTCTGTGGTCTTTATGCTTCTGAACATTTTGCTTTGTTTTCTTTGTGAGGTTTATCTTAGGATGGTTGATGTCTTGTTACATTAAAAAAGTAGCCTGAATGTTTTTTACAATTCAGCCAATCATTCACCATGATAGTTTCAGAAGACAGCTTTAAGCATTGCTTTTTTTTTATAATAGACAATTTCAAGCACTATTGCTCTTCATGCAATCAATGAGACATAGGAATGAATTTAATTTTTTTCATTTATTTCAGCCTGTGTAATGGTGATAGGTTGTCTATAAACTAGATTGTAGATCTGGATGCTGGAGAAAAAGAAATTTATTCCTTGATGGATGGAAGTGATATTCTATGCTTCTTATTAAGATTTCATGTTGATGTGTTTATGCTATTCTTAGAAAATATTTCCTCCCATGCTGGTATTGTTTCCCTGTCAATGAGTTATCGAGGTATTTATTGAACGAAGCAAATGTTATGAAGGCTAGGGGACAGGGTTTCCATATTATATCCCTAACTAGGGTTGTCAATGGGTCAGGTATACCCAACAAAACCAAAGAGAACCAACCTAATGATACAGGGTTTGGGTATTAACATATTAGAAAGATGCCCCTGGTTTAATACCTATCTTTCACATGGTATTAGCATATTTAAATCCTTTCAGAGATTTAAATATGCATTTAAAAAGATAAAACATGCAACCATTTTGAAAGAGTGAATTCATGAATTCTGTGAATATCTACGCTATCAAGGAACAATTTTTTTTCTGAGCTGTAGCTTTAAAATAGAAATCACTGGATTCTTGAAAGAAAATGTCTAACAACTACCACAAATCAATAACCTAGAGCAGTAACCATATTAAGAAATGAAAATGTAATATCAAGCATAAACATAAGCATAAGCATAATGACAACTCTGGAACAAAATACAGATTGAGAAGAGGATGAATGTATTTGAGAACAAATCTACAACAGACCTAGAAAAAACATAGATCTAGAAAACACAACAAATCTAGAAATGTGTAGATACCTGATGATAGATTTGGACGGAAATGGCGTCGGTGAAAAGATCGCCGGAGATGGCACCAACCAGAAGATGGTTGGACGGCGGCTGAGAAGAAGACGAACGAAAATCTCGTGGGGAACTCATTCATGAAAATAGGTAAAAATGGTACAAAAACAAATGGAAATCGTGAGAGGAACCCAAATATGAGCTTACCTTCGAGAAAGATCGCCGGAGATGGTGCCGATGAGAAGATGGTTGGATGGCGGTTGAGAAAAAGATGGTTGCCTCCCTTTGATAAAATTTTTGCACTTCTTTCTTTTCGCAGTGGGGTCACACCTATTTGGTGAGACCCCACATCCTAAAAAATGAGAACCCAATTCTCATCACATCTCAGCAATTTGCTCAAAACAAACATGGGAAAATAGGAATATTCTTCAAAGATTCCTATTTTTCCATCCTAGTTGTGCAAAACAAATGGACTATAAGGGTTTATAGTTGATAAGGGCAACTTTTTGGCCCTAATATCAATAAAAATAATTCTTTTAATATAATTTCTAAAGTAGATTAATTTTTCTAAAAAATATATAATAAGGACAAAAACACTGCTCATCTTCTTCCTCCTCTAAGCAACTAAATAAATCTCTCTCAAGTTGCCCTTATCAGCTATTATCCCAAAGAAAAAAGGCGATCGGTGGAACCAGTGACACATTTCAAAGAATATTTGAAAACAACCGTCAAATCTCTGGTTCAAAATCTGCAACTATAAGTCATAAAATCCTTCTTTTATAATCCTCTCTATCTTTTAACGTCTCTATTAGACAGTGTGTGCCCTCCAATCATATTGATGTATTTGATGACATTTATTGTAAATGAATAAATGTACATAATTGATTCATGTGTTTTTGGTATGTTTCTATGTGATACCCTTAAACTGGACACTTATGAGACTCGTGTTAGATTAGAATCTTCATAACCATTGGATAGATTTGGGGAGATTTATCCTGCCAAGACTGACATTGATGTGCCGCCAAGTTGGTTGGGGTGGCTTGTCTCATCTGCCAAGGTGAGACCTAAGGTGCATGTAGTGTGGGTTTTCTTGAAACCCTGAACCAAACTAAAATTTCAGTATTACCCTGGACCTTAGAGACAGATGGGCAAAATTGGAATGTTACACCTGACCCCTAGACTTGATTATGATACCGCGCTGGTGTCGGATTGGGCTATCTTTGATATGCCAATCAATGAGATCCTTAGAGGGGGTCAAAACCTGGGTATGTTGGGACAGTCCGAGAATTCATCCGAGTGGGTGATCATAGTGACAAGATCAACCCCTTTGTCGGACAAAGTGAATGATCGAGGATGCACTCTCTTTGATGGAAACCTAAACTATCGGCAGTTGATTTCAAACGTTGAAATTTGTTTTTGCAAAATATATTTGTATAGATATATATATTGTGGTTTCAAAATGTTCGCAAAGAATTTTAATTTCGGGTGTATTGACTCTGGGGCTTCAACTCATGCGTGTAACTCACTACAGGTGTTCAAGATAAGCAGAAGACTGAGTGATGGAGAAGTGACACTCTACTTGGGGACTTTTGCAATAGTTGCAGCTACAACCATAGGAACTGTAGAACTAGTTTTCAGAGAATGAACAATTGTACTTAAAGATTATCTTTTCGTACCTAATTTAAGAAGAAATTTGATTTCTGTCTCAAAATTGTGCTTGGATGGTTATTCTATCTTATTTAGTATTGTGATTACTATTAAACGGAATAACAAATTCCTCGCATACGAAGAACTTGAGAACGACCTCTATGTTCTTCATTCCTTCTCTAGAAACAAACATTACTGAAACTACGTCGGAAATAATCCCCAAGAAAAGAACTCATGATACAGTTAATCCCACGTGCCTATGGCATTACCGACTTGGCCACATCAACATAGATCGTATTATAAGGTTGGTAAAGGATGGTCCTTTGGATTTTCTAACTRTAGAAGATCTTACAATCTGTGAACTTTGCCTTCAAAGTAAGATGACAAAGCGGCCATTTACCGGTAAACCTGAAAGATCTGCAGGCACACTTGACCTTATACATACTGATGTATGTGGTCCCATGAATGTTAGGACATGTAACCAACACGTTTATTTCATAACCTTTATTGATGACTATTCTCGATATGGTTACGTGTACCTAATGAGAGATAAGTCTGAATCCTTTGAAAAGTTAAAAAGTTCAAACAAGAAGTCGAGAAATAGTTAGAGAGAGAAATTAAGACCCTTCGATTAGATCGATGCAACGAGTATCTCTCTGACGAATTTAGTGACTACTTAAAGGAAAATGGGATTGTATCACAACTGGCTCCACCTGCTACACCACAATTAAACGGTGTGTCAGAGAGGACAAATCGGACCCTATTAGATATGGTCCAATCACTTCTCGTCCACTTAGAGTTACCCATATCCTTTTGGGGTTTCATGTTAGAGACTGTGATTTACGTGCTGAACCGGGTTCCAACCAAATCCGTTCCTAAAACTCTATATGAGCTATGGACCGATAAGAAACCAAGTGTAAGACACTTGAAGATTTGGGGTTGTCCAGCACATGTTAAAAGAACTAGTGCTAACAAATTGGAATCCAAGACCAATCGTTGCCTATTTGTAGGTTACCCCAAATGCTTTGTAGGTTACTTGTTCTATGATCCAAAAGAGCAAAAGGTGTTTTGCAGTCGAAATGCCCACTTCCTAAAGAAAGATTACATCCTGGATAATCATGATTAGACAGTTGTTCTTGATGAGGAGAGCCCAAAGGTAGTGGGAGATGTCCCACCAGCTCAAGAAAATAACCAACCTAGAAGATCTACCTGGGTTTCTAAACCTCCAGTTCGTTATGGTTATGACCAAGAAAGTTATTTGGTGGAAGCCACGACCAATGAGGAGGATCCCGTGACTTATTCAGAAGCTATGTTGGATATAGATTCCTTGAAGTGGGTAGATGCCATGAGAGTTAAGATGGACTTAATGGAGACCAATGGAGTCTGGACTCTAGTAGATCCGCCCCCTGGGGTAAAGACAATTGGTTGCAAATGGATCTATAAGAGGAAGAAAGGCCCCAATGGTAAAGTTGAGACCTACAAGGCTCATTTTGTAGCGAAAGGGTATACTTAGAAAGAGGGAATCGATTATGATGAAACTTTTTCGCCCGTGGC